GGGGGAGTCTTGGAATATCTTGAAGTGTTGTATTCTGATATCATCACATCACTGCGCAGAATATAGTTTTCATCATTTCTGTCTACACAGTTGAAGAAGGACACCTATCCAAAATATACTGACAACAGGTGATTTTCTATCATTAAACCTTTTGCACATTCTTCTCTTTTTCTCATACTGCCCTGCGGTAACTTGAGGTGTAACGATGAAGCATCATCGTAAAAGAAATGCGTCTCCTGTGACAAACACACCTGTACAGCCTGCTACTCTGGCAGCTCCTCAGTCTGTTTAGATCAGAGGTCTCCAGTCCTGCTGAGTCTGGTGTTATCTGTAGTCTGTTTGCCTAAACCCTAACTAACTGAGTAATTGAGTGGTGATATGCAATGAAAGCAGTAATAATCAGTAATAAGTAAACTTTTGGACTCCTCAGCTCTTCAGAACCAGGGTTAAATGTGACTGGTTTTGTAAAAGGATGGATTTACATGTAACCTCTTAATTGCCCGTCTTTTTAAACAGGGGATAGTGTGTGTGTGTGCCATGTCTTTTCCCAAACCATTCCCTTATAATACAGCATTCCAACACAGCCCAGTCCCCCCTGGAAAAGCTTGCCGTCTTTTCTCACACTAGGGAACAGCATTGTTAGCTTAAAAATAGAAAGAAGAATTCTCTGTTCACTGAAAACTGAAATCACACACTAAATGACCATGAGGGAAAAAGCTGCACAAGGCTCTCGAAGTGATGCAGAGAGCCGATCACCAGTTATGAAGCACATGTCGTAAAATGTCTCTCAAATCTTCACTCCCTGATTCTACTGCCATTAAGGCATATGGAAACTGTGGCGTAAGTTTACAATCTACAAATGTATACAGTATGTGAAGATCACCAATAGCATCACCTTTTGTTCACAAAAGATCATTACAAAAGCATGTGAACGCAAACTACTCTAAAAAAACTAAACAAAATCATTTTCAAATGTGTGCAACCCTGCTGGCAATCCTCTGTAACCTCATTCATGAATAAATTAATCCTGATAGATTATTACATGGAATATAATAACATTATTTATACATTGTGGAGAACAAAGTGGAGTACCTAACAGATCTATCATTTAAAGCAGCAGCTCATTATTTTAAATATCTAAAAATAATGTATAATAAGTAGTACTTTTGACATCTTGTACATTTTGCATCTGTAAAATTAATGATGATTAATGAATCTTCATTAATTTTGGAGATCTTCCCTCAGAAAGTCCGGATATCTGCAGGAGCAAACTTAGCAGAATCAGGACTTGAAACTTACCCTTGGGGTTTCAGAGACTGGGTGGCCACATCTAAATCATGGATCTACTTCGTACTTCATTTTTATCAGACACATGCATACTTCTCATGAGTAATGAGCACTTCTGACATCACGTCTGTTTTTCACAGTGAGACAGTGCTTCAGTATTCAGAAAATTGTCAAGACTTCGAGAGAGCTTTTTTGTGGGTGAGCAATGACTTGCACATTGTAGGAAGTGTCTGACAGGTTGTATTTAGAGAGCCTGACAACTGATCGAGAATTCTTTGACTATGAAGCACAAGCCATTGTTTTTTTCCTCTTTCTCCAGTCGTGGGTAAATGTTTTCGTCCCATTAGTGCATAATGGAGGGGACTTATGCTGCTGAAGTATAGCAGGCCAAGCACACAAAATGTCACAGAAAAGGTACATAATGCTCCACATTAACAGTCGCAGTGCAATGTAGGACAAATAAATTCTGTATCCTATTCATTAGAAGGCTGTTAAAGTTGGCAGGGAAAAGTGGTCCTTCTTTTTCTCAAAAAGCAGTTTAAATGTGGGGTGAACGTGTACGCTGCCTAATGGATCTGTTGTTTACAGTAGCTCAGTATTTACAATATTTAGAAATAATGTAGAAAAAAATTATGGTTTTATAATTCATCTTAACATGAATTCAGAGGAGCTCTTATCTGCTCTGGTATAATGTTGAAGGAGAGCAAACTGGTATGTTTTCACTACAGCGCCTGTACAGCCTATGTGTTTACTACACAGCGTGTATACAATACTGTATGTGTTTACCACAGCACATGTATAGAACACTTGTTTAGTACAGCACATGTATACAGTATATGTTTACTACAGAACATATATAGACTCTGTGTTTACTACAGCTTGTGTATAGACTGTGTTTACTTCAGCACATGTATATAGCATACAGTATATAGTCCATAGTCTATAATCTAGTCTATAGTCTATAATACATAGTATATAGTTTATACAGTCTATAGTCTATAGTATCATAATAATG